TTTTTGGGTGGATACATTAACATACTGTCAAACGGGGTAAAAAGGGCCAGACGGGTGGGGTAAAAAGGGACAGTCCTCCAATATTTTGGAGAAATGTTGTAGCAGCTAAACTAATTAAAATATTGCAAAACTAAAAATAGTGGTGTAAAGTTCAACATTTTTACTATGCTATCTATGCAGCTGCTGCAGCATAAAGCAAATTGAGAAATCACACATATATTATCTCTAAAAAGTTCCTGAAAAAAATGTGAAAAGTGAGATTTTGGAATAGTAGGTACTAGGTACTGTACCTCTGCTAAGGTCTGTAGCAGAAAAAATATTTGTTGTATTGAAAAATTTTACTTACATAAGAGTTGCACAGTGCACACTAGTGTTGGCTTAAAAACCGTAAAAAACGTGATTGACAGAATTTGCATTATGCATATCTCATTCCAAGAAAAAATGGTGGCCATTTCCCGTTTCCGCAAAACAGGGCAGGGTAAACACGGTATATTCCGACACTTCAAGGACATGGTGGTTTTTGAGGAAATCCTTGGGCATTTAGCCCCAGCACTCCAGCAGTCACACTGTGGGTCTGTGGCCAGGCTGTGTGGCAAGAAAAAATGGTGGCCATTTCCGCAAAACAGGGCAGGGTAAACGCGGTATATTCCGACACTTTAAGGACATGGTGGTTTTTGAGGAAATCCTTGGGCATTTAGCCCCAGCACTCGTGCACTCCAGCAGGCACACTGTGGCCTGGCTGTGTGGCGCTCCAAAGCAAAAAAACCTAGATCTAGGTTTTTTGCTTCCTGCTAGCCTGCTAGGTTTCTAGGTTTGTCATTAACAAACTGATCCTAATTTAATTTTTTTCAGAATGGTGCACTGAAAGCAGAAATTGGTCAATTATTGCCAAGAAAGGGAGAACTGCTACGAGACTTATGCGATGGAGCCATTTACAGGAGATATGAGAGTAGATTATGCATGGAAATGGAATCAGGAATGATCATGATTCATGAATAAATATTACTTACTAAGTTACTATGCTCAGAAAATAAAGACTAGTTTAGTCAGTTATCAGTAATCCATTCGAGGAGAAACTGGAGGTCGGAGTAATAACAGGCTGAACAGCACTTAGCAGTCAAGAGACTTCAAAACTGTTAGGTGAATTAATTACACACCAGTCGCGGGCTATAGATGTAACAGACTATAAACAAAGGACAATAAGGTAGACAACAGTATTTCGCACGCATTAAAAGGGTCAAAAGCCTTAAATTCAGTTGCATGCCTCAAATTTATATTAATATTTTTGCTTTCAAAACATACATTTTATCTCCTATGTATATTGATTACCGGCTGCCATTCTGCAACAAAATAATGTGTCAATCAATCTAAATAGTCATGGCACATACAATGATAGGGTGAAAATATATAGATACCAAAATTATAACCTAAGCCCAACAACTCATTGCTATTTAAATTGAAAACTTGTTAAGCGATTCAAGTGTTTTTTTTTTCCTTGCTAATTTTTATTTGTTCATAATTCTCTCGTTTAATAATTTTTTCACAACGATTATATCCTTGACTTAAGGTTTGTTTGAAGAACTTCAAAAGGCGATGTAGAGGAAATTCTGGTAAATTTTAGTTGACCGAATCGACAGTTCTGAGACAAATTTCCACTGAAAATGTTTCGCGTATACTTTTTTAAATCAAAACCAGTCTTGACCTAATAAAATGAAGGGTAGTTTTTTTTCTATATTATTTGAACTTTGAAGTAGTTCCCTTTGATATTATTTAGCAAATTAATGCTACTTTTTACAATCTGCGCACACATGAGTTTGTCAAATTACAACAACAAGGAGATAATTAACAACTAAATTATGTATTGACGTTATCATTTTTCGTGCGTTTTCATAATTTTTTTATCGTTTGATTTCATTCAGCTTGTTGAAAGTTAATTTTTAGCCCCATTACAGATAAGAAGCCAATTAAAAACAAAGCTATTTATTGACATCTAAATAAGTAGTATTGAGAAGTAGTCATTAATTAATTACTATCATTATATAAAAAATCTAAGGAGATTATTTAAAAATTTGATGGAATAATGTAATTCTCACATGAAAAATCGTTTACAATTTTTTTTAAGAGAACTTGATCGTGAAGTTGCATCCTCTTATTTACTTTAAGTGGTGTCAATAATCTTCTACCATTGATTATCACGTTTTCTATCAATTTTTTCGAAAAATTCATAGAAGTAAAATGTTTTTATTTTTACATTTTACGTTTGAATGTGAAGTTTCATGATGATCGGATAATAACTTTAGGAGTTATAGGCTATCTCCAATTTAGGTTAGACGGTCCCCTTAAAAGCCTTTTGAATGCAAACCTACCAAATCCCTATATTCTGACGCTGTGTGTGACTAAATTTGGCATGTTGTGAGACGAATTACGGCCGCGCTTCAAACTCTACTAATACGTAACTCCGATTGCTGTGTGAGGGCGTGAGCTGTATTGGAATACAACAGGGCTTTGAATTAGAACACTATTGGATATTGAACACTACTTAATTAGGCTTTTAATTAACAGCTATTAAGCTTTTAATTAATAAAATTTCAATTTTTGCACACAGCTTGGAACGAGCTGTGTGTCCCATTCAAGTTGTGTCGGAATTAGTTTTTATGTGTCTAATTCCGTTTCTTAACTTAATCATCTATTAATTTATTTAACCACTTGAAATCAGAAAATACAAGTATACTTGAAGGATTCCTAATATATTCACAGACATATTTAAAAGTCTCAACATAGTGGCAAAGCAGAGAGTTTTTTAGGCTCTCCTTCAAGTTCATTTTTGAGTCCTATATGTAGACCAGTAAAGTACCATAGCCTGGATACCTGCATTATCATACATAAGAAATTGGTTGAAATTGTGAGTAAATGAGGAAATTAAAAATGAACTGATTTTAAAAAATCCGTTGTTTGTCACTATGAGTCTCAAGCCAGAATATTCTTTCTACACAAACAGTTTATTACTATTTGGTAGAGCAAGGTCAACTATCAACTTTGACACATTTTTTGATGATCTCACTGGGTGGCATGCACAGTCTCTCTTTGGATCTCAACATTTTCCTGCCAGATGGCCCAAACCTAGTGTTTTGGCAATAGTTTGGCGTGCAAAGGTATGACGTCACTATTTCAACCATCCACAAATGCATGGAACTAAAACAAAACTTAATATAGAGGAAAAACTAGAGAGGTGTCGGAATTACCCACGATGTCAGTCTTTTTGTTGGAATATACCGTGTTTACCCTAAAATTGAAAGTATCTCATTTTTGGGTGGATACATACTGTCAAACGGGTAAAAAGGGACAGTCCTCCAACATTTTGTAGAAATGTTGTAGCAGCTAAACTAATTAAAATATTGCAAAAATAAAAATAGTGGTGTAAAGTTCAACATTTTTACTATCTATGCAGCATAAAGCAAGTTGAGAAATCATACATTTATTACCTCTAAAAAATCCCTGAAAAAA